TACAATTTAAAATAACTGTTTTCTATTTTAATATATGTTAAAATGTCATTTATTCTGATGACGGCAAAGCTGAATTTTCAGCATCATTACTCCAGTCTTCAGTGTCACGTGATCCTTCAGAAATCATACTAATATGCCGATTTGGCGTCCATGATTATTATCAATTTTATCAAGGTTAAAAGCAGTCGTGCTGCTTAATATTTTGTGGAACCCATGACACTTTTTTTTAGGATTCTTTGATGAATAGAAAATGAAAAGAACCGCATTTATTTGAATAATAAATTTTCTAACATTATAAATGTCTTTACTGTCACTTTTGATTAATTTAATGCATCCTTGCTGAATAAAAGTATTAATTTCCTTTCAAAAAATATTTTAACTGTAGTGTATGTTTGGTTTCATAGTTTGATAAAATTGCTTACTAGCAGTGGAAAGTTATACAAGTTATACATAAAATTTTCAACTTCATGACCATGCTAAGCTGGTAAACATGATCATTTTATGATGCATTTTTTGTGCAGGGATGCCAGAAAGAGACATGATGTAGCCCAAGTATCTGCAAAGTACAGTTTAAACTCCACATTCTGCTTTCATTTCAGTTAGTCTTATTGCTTAACCCATTTGATTCCTGCCGATGATCCACAAGCTGAATGCATTCAAAAGGGCGTTTTGCATTCAATCTAACCATTATTGTTTGCTTGAAATGATTTACGAGTAAACATTTTGTGCTGAACTGCGCAACAAACCAACTGCCTTTCACCAGCACAGCGAATGTGTTTCTGTCTGTGGTTTCAGCGATCTGTGTTTAATGGATCACAAAATCTCTGTAATGACTTTATAATCGTTTCAAAAAAGCATGACAAGACTAACCCTAGAGCGAAGAAAATACAACTGTGGGCTGGGTCGTCATGTTGTTTCCAAGGAGACACAGGCTGTTCCAAAAGCACACAAAGATGGGGAAAGGGAAACCGTCGCCATGGAAACAGGACCGCACCACGACTATGTTTTGGAAGTTGTGGTATGGAATGTATGGGGCTTGGTGATGATGGGGGATGGGACACCGGAAAATCTGCTCCACACATCCCTCATCCAAAGCAGCCGCCTCAGGATCACACCCGAGAGATTCTCGAACAACCAGCGGCGGCTTACAGGCAAACATGCTTCGAGTAATGCAGAGCACGTCGGTTTTGTACCACCTGATATGCGTTTTAAACTGTAACCCCCCAAAAAGCTCTCTTGTCTGAAGATCTTCGGAAATGTCAGGAATCTAAATGATATTTCGACACTGGGTTAGTTCAACTTCACCTGACCTACAAACACAAGGAGTTCCTTACAGCTGCAGTGAAGTTACGTGGACTGAAGTAATTCTATTACACCAGATTTACCACTTGTAAATGGCCTTCAGTGTTAGTGAGAGGGTCGAAATTAGTGCACTGGTTTGAGTGGAACTGCTCTTCAGGATCCCAGACCACATTCAGCTGTCTTTATCAAGAGTAATCTGGAAAATACAAGAAGAGGGACCTACACAGACTTGTCAAATCTAGTCTCTAAGATCAAATTTGCATATACTTTTACAGGGCCGTCCTTAGCTGACGCGGGGCCCGGTGCGAGGTAGGGCAGGGCCCCCCTTGGTCCGTTCACGATCATGTTCCGTTCGCCGCGGGGCCCGGTGCGACCGCACCAGTTGCACTCCCCCTATGGACGGCCTTGTACTTTTATGAATGTGGGATGGAATGTGGGACCACCCATTTTTGGACTTCATCATTAGTGATCATGATAATCACTTCAAAGTCAAACACAAAACAGAACTGTAGTGATGGTAACTGGTGATCAGCTTGATTTCTGTATTCACATATCATGGTATTTACCAATTACTCTGAGGTCCTTCAAAGAATAGGTCTTTTCTTATGGAACACTCTTAATAAGACTTTTTTTTTTCCGCAGCAATGCCATTAAATAATCATTTTGAGTTCCTAAAAGAAACATTTTTTTTAATTAGTGTTAAAAAACTCTTTCTAAGAACCCTTTGAGCAATGGAAAGGCCCCATCATGGATGTTTAAGGTTCTTTATGGAACCACTGATGCCAATGAACCTTTTATTTTTGAAAGTGTGCATAAAGACAAACCTAAAAAACGTAGTGTCTGGGCTACAGAGGAGATACTTAGTTCTCCAGTAGCTCAATGTACTTACTCAAAGGCAAAGAAGAGGCCACTGGTCACCAAAATGAGAACCATGGTAAGATAGAAGACCCCAGTCTGCTTTGCCATCATGATCCGCCCGTTGCAGTAAAACTTATTTCGTCCTTGAAAAACCTGCCATTTCCTTTTGATCTTCTTCTTCTTGGTGTGTGGAGTGTCCATGGGTGAGGAGTTATGTGTGCAGATCTGATTGTACTGGCACTCTCGGATGGGCTCCTCAACCCCAAGATGCATGTTGCCTGCCAGCAATAAAACAAAACAAGGGAATCAGAATTCAAATGTCCTCAAGGAACTAAGGAGACAGTTGGATCTTGCAGAAACATCTCTGATCTGATGGAGGATGCATTACACAACCCAGTCAAAGAAAAGCGTGGAACTGTAACCAAGGAACCATTTTCTTATCTCCATGTTTTATTGAAATCTGCAAGGTTTTAATTGCATTACATTAAAAATGCTAATATTTGCATCCGATACGATGGGAAAGGAATACGCTCCGCGTTGTCTGGTTTACATGTTTGTTTGGATAACTCCTTCATTGCAGATCATGTATCCTCTACACAACAGGATGCGCTCCAGGACACAGAGGCATGTGGACATCATGCCCAGAAATGTCGCTTTGTCTGCTGGGCGTCTTAAAGCTTGTAACTCCGTTAATGCGGTTCAGAAGCGCTGCGTTGAAACCAAACCAACTCCAAACATTTGGAATATAACGCTAAAAACGTCCTTCCGATGTCCTCGTAATCCCGTTCACTAGAGGCTCTTTATAGCACGATCGGCAGCTGAAAATCTAGTTCTGAGTATTTCAAGAGCGAACAGACAGAGGAGTGTCTGATCATCTATATCGACGATGATGATGATGATGAAGGAGAGGCTCGCTGTGCGCAGGATGTGGATGGAGTAGATCACCGAGTGAACTGCATGAGCTCACAGCACACGATGACCCTATAAACAGCGGCGCCGTCTCAAATCATAGCGAGCTATCTATGTAGACAGCATATCTGGGTGTGCTCAAAACAGAATAAGCTGAGCTGCCCGTACAGCTCTCTTAAAACCCAGTGATCTATCTAGAAAGCATTTCGGTTATGTGCCTCAAAAGAAACCAAGTCTGCTGCAAATCTAGGCAACGTTTTGGGGTACCTGTGCTTCAAAACCTAGAATTTTCAAGCATGTCTCAAAAGACTAATTTGCCAGCCTATACACTCTTTTTGGAGGCATGCATTTCAAAACTGAGTAAACCGCTTTTTGTTTGTTTGTCTCAAGACAGAGTGAACAAGTCGCCTATATAGACAGCAATCGTAGGCACTTATCACTTAATACTGAAAAATGTCATGGTTTCCACAAAAATATTGGGCAGCACAACTGTTTTCCACATTGATAATAATCAGAAATGTTTCTTGAGCAGCAGATCAGCATATTAGTATGATTTCTGAAGGATCATGTGACGCTGAAGACTGGAGTAATGATGCTGAAAATTCCGTTCACAGGGATAAATTACATTTTACAATGCATTCATATAGAAAACAATTATTTCTGTAGTTATATTGCACAATATTACTGTTTTTACTGTATGTTTGATCAAATGCAGGCTTAAGATGTGATCAGGAAAGTGTTTTTTTTTTTTTTTTACGTGAAAGATGTATTTGTGTCAATAAATGTTTTGGTACTCTTTTGTGAATTGTCTTATTTTGACATTAATTATTAATATGAAATATAAATATAATCAAGGAATTCACGGTTGTAATTAGGCCTGAAAAGACGTCTTTTCAACTTTAACTTTACAACCACATTTAGACGTAATTTGGACGTCTTTTTATAGACGTCTTTTCACCTTTCACTTTTCAACTAAATTTTAACGTTGTTTAGACGTCTGCCATTGACGTCTTTTCGACGAGTTTTTGCTGGGTGGGTTTTTTGTGCTTATGTTGTAGCATCAATAAAAACACAAGCTAACTAGGCTATCTAACTAAATAAAATGTCATAAATATTATAACAATAAAATATAACGACATGAACATTCAAAAAGACAATAATGAACATTACGAGTCTTCTGTCTATAGCTCTTTCTCTTTCAGTCTGTGATGATGCCCTGAATGCTGTCTAGGTAGGCGGTTCACTCCGCTTTAAAACACAGCCGGTCTGATCGGCGGAATCTCAGTCCTCCTCTTACTTACCGACACATGTCTAGTTCCATATCATTTCGCATTCTTAGGTTCCGCCTGCCGTGTTTCCACCGGACGTCTGTGTAAGTCGGACCCGTTCAAGATGTCCGTGGAGCAGGCGAGCGCGAGAGGGACGGCCGGTGACACTGAGGAGGACAAATCTCACCTGATTAAAGGTTTGGTGTATTTCGATAGCATATGCGGCCATGGGTATGAATCTGCACAAGCTTTATGAATTATCCGTCGACATCACTCATTTGGTTAACTGACCTGATTAATCGCACATTAAAGCAGAAACTTGGATCTAAATGTTAAATGTCATGGAGTACGGCATTCACAGTAATATTCTCGACTCGAGTCAGCAACTCACCGGAGAACCGAGAAGTTACAAATTACAAATGTACTGGAAATTGGTAACATTCCATATTTCTATTTTATTTTGTATTTTATTTATATATTTATTTGTTATTTTTCTGTATTCCTTCAAGATGTAAACATTGTGATCTTTTGATCGGTTTAATACAATTAATACTTTTTCCGTTTCCGTTTATTTTTGTATATCAGTCTGTACCGTACTGCTGTTGTTCTTTCTTGGACCACACTTTTTAATCTAGTTTATGTTGTATAAAAAAAAAGTTTAAAAATTCAACATTTTTATCAAAAATGTTCTGAGATTTAAGTCATAATTGTTAGTGTTGTTGTTGCTAGTAATAAAACTATTAAAACGATTTGCATTTTTACATTGCATTTATGAGGGAATGTTTTTTCAACCGTTTAAAAATTGTGTATTATCAGCATTTATTTCATAAATAAATTCTTAAAATGTTATATTCTTTATATTATGGCAAAGTCTAACCTATAAATCCTAGGTAAGATTTTCAGTGCCTTTTTTGTTCAAATGTTTAGTTAATTTGTTGTTGTTATTAGTATGAAATCCATTGACCACCTAATTTTTCAGATCTCTTGTTTTTTCCCCATTCATTTTCTCTTTAGGCATAGTGATACCAGTGAATTATATAGTTCTTCCAATGCTTCATGGGAGTGGGCATCACTGCTGAGCTCTTTTGCCTTTTTTTTGCTTGGAAATTGTCTTGCCAGGATCATTGTAGTGTAGTTCATCATTCAGCAATTAATTTTGGTTATCTTAAAGGGGTCATATGATGCGATTTCAATTTTTCCTTTCTCTTTGGAGTGTTACAAGCTCTTGGTGCATAAAGAAGATCTGTAAAGTTGCAAAGACTAAAGTCTCAAATCCAAAGAGATATATTCTTTATAAGCAGCACAACAGTTTCCAGCACTGATAATAAATCAGAATATTAGAATGATTTCTGAAGGATCATGTGACACTGACTGGAGTAATGATGATGCTGAAAATTCAGCTGCGCATCACAGGAATAAATTACATTTTAATGCATATTAAAATAGAAAAACGTTATTTTACATCATAAAATTTAATATTGTGAAATATTATTTTCCTGTATTTTTGATCAAATAAATGCAGCCTTGATGAGCATAAGAAACTCCTGTAAAAAATATAAAAAATCATTCTGATCCCAAACTTTTGACCGGTAGTGCATATATTCTAAATATACAGTATAATATATATATTGAAAATGTGACATCATAGTGCTGCTCTTCTTACAGAAATCTCTGTCTTCATTCTTGGAAGCTGTTTTCTGTTCTGGTATTGATCTGATCAGTAGAGCATGGCTGGCTCATGTCTGCTAGCTTCACAGAATTAGACATTGCGTAAATGCTGACATCGAACTTATTTTGATCATAAACTCAGAGATGAACAGTAGCCTCTTTGTTCTCTCTCTTTTTTTTTTTTTTTTTTTT